GAAAAGCATTAGTAAAGAAAATTTAAATACCTCATTGGTAAGGTGTTTTTATATTTATTATAAATTTATATTAAGGTTTAATTAAGATATTTAAACATAAATCAAATTTACAATATAAAAATTTGGAAATCAGTTTTTGTATTATAAAAATTAATCATTATTTTACTGTGAATCTACTTTGCATTTATTTAATTTCTTACACTTACATTAAACATGATTATCATGTAAATTTTATGTAGTTCTTGATGGAATATACACAGTATTTTGTCCAACTCTAGTTAAAACTCCCTGTAAAATAGTGATAAATGAGGATTGTGAAAATATTTTATACTGATTCTATAAAAACTTTTGTGAATGAATTAATCAATTTAATTTTAAATGATACAGCTTTTATAACAGCTCATCAAACAAGAAATTTGATTAGACCTAAGGACTTTTATTCCTATAAAATTCAAGAAAATAATTAACACTACTTTTAAAATCTTATTAAAAAATCTTTTGCTTCAATCTGGACTAGATTTCAATTGAAAATCCACAAATAGAGATAATGGAAAAACAATCTCTGTAAAATGAATTATCAAGAAATTAATACTAAAAAAAAATTAAAAATGCATGTACATTCTTCCTTCTATGAAGAAGTCCTATCTGAAGAATTCTTCAGACATGTCTCCAATGTGTAGGGATGAAAGCATTTACACTTTAATTTTCTTCATATTTAATTAATTTCTTTAGAATTTATTTTGCTATTATTAGGAGTGGTTTTTTACAAGTTACTAAAGCTGATGAAATGTCCAGCTTTGAACATTCTTACAGAGAACAGAAAGCTTTATTACACAAATATCTAATTAATAATTATATTACGATACGAATACAAGACAAAGTATTACCAAACAATAAAAATAGCATTACTATATTACCAATATGATTTTAAATTATACAATTATTCTTTAAATGAAAATTATTATTTCTTTTCAGTTCCTTTATAAATATGTAATATATAAATTGTGTAATGTTTTGTAATATGTAATTTGTTGTAAAATCTATACTTTGAGTGCTTAAAAAATTTAAAATGTATGTATGTATGTATGTATGTATGTTAAATTGATAAAACTTTATCAATTAATTTGTTAATAGGAGAGTTTTAAAAAGTATCAATAATACAAATGAAAATTTGATGTTTAACAGACATTACTTTGAGAATGTTAGAGTAGAAAAATATTTTTATATTGATCAAATATATTTAAATTTCGCAGATTTTTCAAAGTGATAACAATGTGAATATATTTATTATTAACTTCAACAAACAGATATGTTATAATTAAACGAAATGTTTAAAAGATAAATTTTGTTATATAATAATGAATGAGGTTGAGGCCGAAGTTTTAAATGCGAAAACGTGTACGTTGGATGTTCAGCGCTGCTTTCCTGTAAGCCTAGAAGTTTGACAATGGTGTTTAGATAGTCAGTGGAATCGTGCTCGACATTCCAAACACCATTGTCAAACTTCTAGGCTTACAGGAAAGTGGCGCTGAACGTCCAACATTCGCATTTAAAACTTTGGCCTCAACCTTGCTATTAAATCCAGAATTTACTTTTATGTAACTAAATTTTGATATTTATAAATATGGACTATTCAGTTAAAAAATATAGTAAACAAATAATTCCAATAAAAACATTCAACAAAATTTAATTTCCAAAAGCAGATATATACTTGTACATGTAATGACATTCTTTTTAATAATGAACTTGATTTTTATGTGGTTTTTGATAATAAAATTAAACCACATATAAAAAATAGACGAAGACATTTTATTCTACAAAATTACTACCACATAATCTATAACCAGTGGTGGATTACCCAATAGACACACTAGGCATGTGCCTAGGACCTCATCATCTTGAGGAGCCTCAAAAATTCATAGAAAAAAGATAATATGCCTCTAAAGATTTAGTGAACACTTAAAAAGCATATATTATAAATTAAAAAAAATTGTCATTATTTAAAGATTTTACTGTCTTTTTAATATAAAAAGAACACTTTTACATAAAGGGCCTTGTAACAAAATTGCAACTAGGGTCTCAAAGGAACATAATCCGTTACTGTCTATAACCTTTTCCCAAAGAAATTCAAATTTGTAAATACAGTAGAACCTCGAAAACTCGGCTCTCGATAACCCGGCACTCCGGATAACTCGGCCACACCCTGGCAGGGCAAAAAAATCCTTAGTTAATTAATTTTCAATATAGACAGCTTTATAAAAGTATAAAAGCTCTCATAAAGTATTTTTCTGAGGTCTGTCTTATCGGGTAAATTACTGTACACAGTGTATTCATGAATTTTCATTTTCATGTAGTAAAGGCTCTATGCCTTCATAAAGGACGTACTTTTCCTTTGTTTAAGGATATTTGGGCAGTTTATTTTCTGTTATATTCTCAAGTAAACAATACATACAAGTAGAGTGCAGTATTTTTTGAGGAAACACTCATACTTATTTTTTTTAACCGCATTCCCAATAACCCGGCATTTTCACAAACTCGGCCACCCTTCGGTCCACATTAGGCCGAGTTTTCGAGGTTCTACTGTACTACCCAATTGTTAGAAATGAAGCAAATACTCAATTCAGTTTCCAGTGCTTTTCAGTTTTGAAATTGTTGCAGCTGTCTGTTTAAGAATGTTCATATTGTTGTAGACTTAAATAAAGCTATCCTATCTCTTGCTATTTTCATAAGCATCAAAAATAAATTTTGCTTAGGGTCTTGCAAATTCTAGGGTCATCTCTATATTGGAATGAGCATTATCCTGAAGGAGCACAATAAATTTGCAAAAAACAAGTGCATGCTGTTTTTGCTACAGGCATGTAATACCACTAATACATCTATGACTCATTGAAGTTGTGATAGAGCTGCTTGGCCACTAATCAGTCAATCATAATAGATATCATCATCTGTAATCTATCAGACACACAATAAAATTTTCTATTGGTGTACATTGGACTTTGGTATGTGTGGGGAAGCTTTACTGGACAACAACAATGATGTAAAAGTTGTTATAGATAATCCATTTTTATCTCATCTTTTGAGATGAGATAAAAATGGATTATCTATAAAAACCTACTGACAAATGACTCATTCTTGTAGCATAGAAACAGAGACAAGCAGGTTTTAAGCTGTTAAGAGATTTTTGTCAGCTGTCAATTCACTATGGAATTCATTTGCTCAACTTCCAGACTTTCACAAGAGGATGCAAATGAATGGTTTCATTTGCATAAAACCTTTCTGCATACTCTTGGCTCTCCTGAAATTATAACATTGAAAAACTGTACTAATTTATTTGATTACCTGATATATGAAAGTCCAAGATTGGCAAATAATGCATCCAATATATTGCAGTTTATGTAAATTGTTTATGAAAGTTGTTATAAGAGCTTTATAACTAATATATAAGACTTATTTTAAATATTCACTTAATAAGCTTTGTTTTGAGACAAAAAAAAAAATACAAAAATTGCATTACAGCAATCTTAGTTTTTCCTTTACAAAGAATAATGTGTCAATATATATATATATATATGTATGTATGTATGTTAAATTGATAAAACTTTATCAATTAATTTGTTAATAGGAGAGTTTTAAAAAGTATCAATAATACAAATGAAAATTTGATGTTTAACAGACATTACTTTGAGAATGTTAGAGTAGAAAAATATTTTTATATTGATCAAATATATTTAAATTTCGCAGATTTTTCAAAGTGATAACAATGNATTTAAGATCACTCAAAAAATTATTATTTTTATGACATTAAGAAAGTAAGATTATTTCAATAGTTAAGAAAGAGTTGTCAATAAGGTCATTTATTCATTATTTTTCATAGTTTTCTTTCTACAAGCTAATTCATTCTGAAACTATAGCTTAAAAATTTTAGAAAAAAATAACATTAAAAGAAAAATTCTATGAGAATATGTCAGTTTACAGTGACTAGTGACTAGATACTATGTGATATATATATGAGGTGCAACTAGACTCTCCATATCAAGATTTTGGACATATTTAGGAAGTAAAATGATAAGTGTTATTATTTTACGACATTTAATAACAACAAAAGGAACTTTTATTATTATTAAATGTTGTTCTTATCAATTTTCTATTCCGATCATAAAATAATAATTTTGAAACTAAAATGGCAATCTCCACAATTCCCAAATTGTTCTACAAGTATGTATAACAAAGGGATTTGGACTTTTTCTAGTTGAACTTTCTGAACATATACAATATATATTCAAATTGTAATAATAATTATAGAATATAATTGAATTATGAACAGCAATGAAATTCTGTCAATACGATGGCCTCCTGGGAACATGGTGATTTAATATGATCAGGCTGTTAGAAGAAATAATAGGATGTTTACTACCACTATGGTAATTAATTAAATGACTGACACTTTTAAAAGTTTTATCTTTAGTTTGAACCTGGAAAAAATATATATAATATTTCAATATCATTTTATAAACAAATTAAAACAAATTTAATAATAAAATTAATACGTATTGCTATTATTATGAACTCTAAGTTATTACTTAGAGTATAATAATAAGAATATTGAAACAAATAGTAATCCACATTATACTTGGATATAACATTATATAGCATCCTATATTATATATAAACACACACATAATAGTAAATAATTTTGTGAGGAAAAATATATGTTGATAGGAATTTGCACACAAGTATTCATTATCATCTCACAGCATTAAAAATATATTTGATTACAAAATTTTTAAAGTTTTTATATAATTTTTTTTTTTATAGATAACAAAATTGGGTTAGTTGAAGACTTTTCAGTGATAATTTCTATATTTAATATTTTTAATAATATAAAACTGTTTATCAGATAACATACAAGCTTATAATGTATTATTTAAGATCACCCAAAAATTATTATTTTTATGACATTAAGAAAGTAAGATTATTTCAATAGTTAAGAAAGAGTTGTCAATAAGTGTCATTTACTATTGAGTTGAGAATTTATAATAGTTAGTTACATTTTCCTTTAATTCATTTTAGATAATCAGAAGTTATTATATTGAACTTAAATTTTCAAGTTTAAAAATTATGCTAATTAGCAGACAATAAAATTACAATAACATACACCAGTTCTCAATTTACAAACTCCCTTCAAAAACCAAAAGATGTGTGCAGATCTCTAGATATAAAGACAGTCAATTGTCCTGAATTTTGATAGTTTGTTCTCTTGAGACTTGTCAATGCAGATTTTTCGACATTTGCACAATCTTAGTATTTCTGTATTTGTCTGATTGATCTGATGGAGTCATATACTGGTATATCTAAACATGTTGCACAATTTGTTCTACTTTGCCTGCATTTTCAAGACACACTCACAGCTTATTTTGATGTCTTATTTGTTGTTTGCCATACCTTCATATTACAACAAGAAATTAAATTAACAATGTATGTTGGAAGTGAATTTCATGTTTAAATAAAACTTTTCATTGTATATTTTATTTTAAATTTTACTTCTGTTTTGTTGTTTGTTCCTAAAAACACTTTCCTAAAATATGTGTGACATCTGTCAATCAAACACGCTGTTCTTTGTGTCATGCTCCTTTGTGTGTATTTTATTCTACATTTAAACAATAAATTAGTGCAGTGGTGTGCCATCTATGGAAGCTGTGAAAGCACTGCTTCCCTTGTATTTTCTAAAAAATAAATACATATTGTGTGATTATTTTCATATTTTAATGATCTTTGAATTACTTAAAATTAATATTTTATTATAACCACATTATTTATTATATTACAAATTTATGTACATGTGAAAAACAATGATAAGATTTGAATATAAATTTGTATAAGCATATTTCCAATGGAAAGTGCTACCAATGGAAAGTGCTTCCATTGGAAATATGCTTATACGAATTGTATTGTCTGTGTTGTCAAATATGGAACAGCTTCCATGGCGAAAATATTTGAATCGTGTAAAGCAGCCAGATTATACACATTCGCACACGTGCTTTACAGAGCACCAACCTCATGCAGTTTAGCTCATGGATGCTTCCATGAGCTAAACTGCATGATATATCGTATAATGCTTCCAATGATTCTATCCAGGGCTGGCACAGCTTCCCTATCATCAAATGTCACCACACACCACTGGATTAGTGACCAGGAGCACTTGTACATTGAGGCATGTGCCTCCCCCTTTTTTTGTCTGGGTTGCTCTTCCTTTTCCTAATCCCCTAGGGGGATTAGGAAGAGCAACCCAGACAAACAACAGAAAATTTGTGACTTGTAGTCTATTCTGCAAATATAAAAGAAACTAATGAACAATATTTGTCAATTACCTCATGCAACTTTGTCATATGTTGACCAAAACCACATTCCTTGTTTTCAAGGCCAAGTTAGTTCTGAGTGCAACCAGTGCTGCCTTGTAGGAGCACTGATCCGACATTGAATTAGAGTTTGAAGCTTCTTGCATAATGTATGATTTCCTTTTTATAACTTGTCCTCCTTTTTTATAGTCTGTGGGTGCCAGTGTTAGTGACTAATAAGAACAACTTCATTTACTATATATTGATATTATTTATCTGATCCACAGTACATCAATATATTATACATTGCCTTTTATCAAATGTAGGTGATAACTAATGCTATCAATTTTTTGCAGTTGAAAACTTGTATCAACATCATACTAGTCAAATATTCTAGTTATTGGGAGTTTGGTCGCGGGTTCGCACCGTGCTCAGACGGGCTGGCCACATGGAATTTTCCGGGTTTTCTCCATGTTTGTAACACCTGAATAGGGGGGGCAGTTTCCCTTACAAGACCTCCCGGAAGGCATTTCCCTTCACATAACATCAAGCCCCAGAGAAGGTAATGGGAAACAACTCTGGATGTAACTTTCCCTAGAAACATCTTGGCACATTACTAACTACTTACTAATCTATGCCAGGTGTTGCTGACGTCAGGATTCTAATATGGCATACAAAGAAGAAGAATAACTTTCTCAGACATGCCACAACTTTGTTTAGCAATGATAGCATTCCTTAAATCTTCTGAAACAGCTTTTCCGCTGGTCCTCGTAGACAAAATGCAAAAGTTCGTAAATAAAACTAAAAAAGCACCTTATATCATTCACAAGATTACTTCAGGCTAACATGAGGCTAAAATAATCAGTTGTTTCAGAAATACTGCGATTGTAACATTATTTAAATGCAAATTATCGGATGGTCTATGTTTATTGACATGGATGACGTAGTGGTCTATGTTTCTTGATGCCTGTCACTTAAGTTTAACTGGCGCAATTTTGTTAAACTTGAAAGATATCAAGTTGATATTTAGCAAAAATAAAGATTAATTACTGTATATTTATTATATAGTTTATAATATAGTTATGTAAATTATGTAAAACATTCATGCAACGAATCAAAGCTACTTTTTTCTGAACTATTCATTGGATGACATGTTAACTGTGGCCTGAGTGGTGACTACTGTAGTTATAATTTGATATCACTTCATACCATACAGGCCTACTCATTTAAAATTATTTCATCAATCAATAACAATCAATATCATTTCAAACTCTGTGATCAAAAATTATTTCAGAATTGATATAAATTGATATTAAATCTTATTTTAAGATAATTCAGAATTAAATAACCATTTGAAACTTACATTTCCTGAAGGATCCACTAATAATAAATGTCTACAAACTCCATCTTGTCGACTTGTCAGAATATATTGGCCTGGAGTTACTTGAGACTCTCGTACTAGAAAATCTCCATTTTCTATTACTAATTCTTCACTTTGTCTTCTATTAATCATACCATGAAACCATTCTTCATATATTAAATATTTCTGTTGTTGATGTAGACTGGGACTGTATTTTCGAAAAGGAAGAGGTGGAGGATTGCAAGAACTACCACCTGACAATTCTAAAAACATATTAACTATTATTTGTTTATAATTTAAAAAATATCTTCATTAAAAAGAAACAAAAATGATTTTATTTGAAAAGAAGTTGATTTAGCTGTAGAATATATTATGGCATTGTTTCTAATTTGTGTGATCACAAGTGCATTCCTATTTTGGGCATAGATATTTGTTATCAGGTTTTAATGGGAAATCATTAGTTTGATGTTGCATACAGGGGCGGACTGGCCCTAAAATTTTTGTGTGGAAAAAATTATTACCGGCCCAGCCCATAAATAAATAAATGTCTTTTTTTTCTATTTATATTTAAATATATTCAAAATACAACCTTGACAAAAATTACAATAAGCACAAGTCTACAACATTAATTTTTTAGTTAGAAGTTTGCTTTGTTGAGCAATAATATTAATGACATCATCAAATTCTATTTCATTTAAAATATCCTTCTCTGCTGACATTAACATGAAGACTTCTAGATTTTCTTGCGAGATCTTGATCTTAGTCGGCTTTTAATGAATTTTAACGTAGAAAAACTCTGTTCACAGGACACTTGTGTTACAGACATAGATAGTAAATATTTATATGCTTGACCAAGTATAGAATAAGTGCCACTTAACATGTTATATCTGAATAATATATTATAACAACAAATAGGGCAATTTTTGCAAGCTTTGCAGTAGGAGGATGAAATTGAATCTTTATCATTTTCTACTTGATCATCAGTAGAATGTTCATTTTCGTTTAATTTTATAAAAGTTTCACTGACATTTTCCTTTAAAATATTCCATGATGATTTAAAATGTTGCAATTCTGAAATAATATTGTGTTTGAATCGCTTCTGGATTAAATTGTATTAAAATACTGCTTAATGTTTGAAATGCATTTTCAGGAGTATTTTCAAAAAAATTTTTTGGATCAAAACATTATAAAGTAATTAGTTTTTTGTAAAACGATTTTCCATGCTTTGAATTGCAGTATCTAGTACGTGATTGTAATTACTTATTTCATACCTCTTGAATGAATCTCTTACTGGTTCGTCCATAGTTTCTCCACTGTCCATTTGCTTTCTTTTGCATATTCTAATATCCAGTAATGTATGTTCAACTTTGCCATCACATTGCATTTCATCTAGTTTATTATTTACATAATTAACAAACACATCAGCAGAGTTCTTTACAATGTTAAATTTTCATGAGATATCCTTTAATAATTTGATTGCATTCATAACAATACAATGAGCTTTGATGAAATCTATGCTTCTTTCTTGCAAATAATTTGAAATCGGTGTTGTAATATCAAATATTTGTAAGAAAAGTTCAGCTGTTAGAACTTTCATATTTTATTAAGGAATCTAGAAAAGATTTTGCTTTTATTCTTATGTTTGGTTGAATGTTTATTGATGTAGCAAAATACTGTAATGTTAATATTAATTCAATATATAAGCCATCTTTAGGATTAGCAAAATTACCAAACACTTTTTTCAAGACTACATCCTTGGTCCACCATTGCGTTTCTCCTATAATATTTAATTTTTTAAGCCTAGTATCTTTACTAAAAGAAATCCATATATTCATTCGAATGTATGATTCTCAAATGAAAATTGCTATTAAATTTAATAGTCTAAATAATGAAACTATAGCAATTGATGACTGAGTAATGTCAGAAATAACTAAATTCAAAACATGGGCGTAGCACCATACATGAACATGCTCCGGGATAGCTTCTAGCATATGAGCAGAAAACTCATGATATTTCCCCTGCATATTACTAGCACCATCAGTAGAATTTCCGATACATTTGGTAATGTCCAAATTATTTTTTCCTAGTATTTTTTTCATAATATTGTAAAAGCTTCACCAGTTGATGATTCCACACTGACAATGGCTAAAAGTCTCTCATTTATGTATTTATTTATGTATCTCACTATAATTGCACATTGATCTTGAACACTTATATCTTGTGTAGTGTCAATCTAAATACTATACATTGCAGCATCATTTATTTCTTTAGAAATTTTGTTTTTAATTAGTTTCAATATTGCTTCAAGTATATAGTTTACAGTAGTTTTTGATAAAAATGTAACTAAGTTGCCATGTCCTTGTGTTCTCTTATCTAAATTTGACCAGTGAATTTTTTTACTCTCCTTAATGCAACTATCCAAATGCTTCTTCAAAACATTGTCATATTTGCTCAAAAGTAATATCATTTCTAAAAAGTTTCCGTGATCTACATTGTCATCATCCAATATAGAAAGACCCTCATTTCATTTGCTTCTATAACTTAACCCTCTTTTGCCAATCAATTTAATAATACAGTAGAGCCTCGAAAACTCGGCCTAATGTGGACTGAAGGGTGGCCGAGTTTGTGAAAATGCCAGGTTATCAGGAATTGCGTTAAAAAAATAAGTACAAGTGTGGAGTCCTCAGAAAATACTGTACTATACTTGTATGTATTGTTTGCTTGAGAATACAACAAAGAATAAACTGCCCAAATATCCTTAAACAAAGGAAAAGTACATACTTTATGAAGACAGAGCCATTACTACGTAAAAATGAAAATTAATGAATACACAGTGTACAGTAATTTACCTGATAAGACAGACCCCAGAAAAATACTTTATGAGGCATAAAGCTGTCTATAATGAAAATTAATTAACTAAGGATTTTTTTGCCCTGCCAGGGTGTGGCCGAGTTATCCGGAGTGCCGAGTTTTCGAGGCTCTACTGTATCAATTATTCATTTTACAACATTACGATTAAAAAGTATTTTTTCATTTCATATGGATTTCAATTGTATAGTAATGCTTGAACAGTTTTTCATGCACATGAAATGGTGAACAGCATTTTCATCATGAAACTTGCTTTTCTCATGCCTTTTGACATATTGATGAACATAATGCCAATTACTAAAACCTTTGATAAAAAATATTGCCTTCTGAATCTCTTCCATATGCTAAGCAGATTGAACAGTACAACTTGTTATTTTCTTCACAAAATGTTAACCATTTACGATTTTGACAATCTATTTTTCTATTATAAATTTTAGTATTAAACAGTGTTTCGGATGATACATGAAGAAATCATCTATATTACTGTAATGCGGCTTTATAAAAATGTATTAGACTTGTTGCCCTCTAGAATTGGAATACTGACTTCCATTGCTTGCAAAATTTCTTTATTTTTCTCTTTCTCAAATTTGTTTTGATCAGTTTGTGCATTATCGACATTATCTGTGTCGGTTGAAGTTGTAGATATATTATTTTCAATTTCTTGAATACTAATATTTTCATTTATATTTCCCCACTCATTCACATCGTCATTGTTAGACATATTTTCAGACTGGCATTTTAAGTTTTTATTAAACATTTGTTGTATACTGTAGCACTGCCCAGCTACTAACTCCAAATCATGTTTTCTTTTTAGTCTCAACTTTTCTTGACCTCCCTTTGCTTTTTTTCCATCACACTGTGGTTCCATTCTGCAAATTAAAAATTATAAGGAATCGAACCAAACCATTTATATACCAAATATATTTTGTTATAACCTATAACCTACTTTTTACTAACCTGAAAGGAAAAAATAACTTTTTTAAAATTTATTATCAAATTTGTAAAATCCTAGTTGTCCAAACCTATAAAATAGACTATTTGTAATATAAAGAAAATAATTATTAAAAACATTTTCTACTTACATCAAATAAATAAAATAATTGTAATTAGCAGTTCATAGCAGTTTAAACCATTATGAAAGCCAGAGAAGAGAGAATTCAGAATTCACTCTTACTGTTTTTGCATTATACCAGGGATGGGCAACCTTTTTCTAAGGGCCACATTTGAAACTTTCAAATTGAAACGAGCCACACATAAGAAGAAAAAAAAAATACAGGTAAATCACAAATGTTTATTCATATATTCATAAATTAGCATAGGTATACTGGAATTGATGTGAATGTAATATATGCCATCGATCTTATAATGGTTACATTGAGCTTTTATTGTAAAACCACATGCAAATCTCAAGGTCAGTCCAGCATTGAAAGTAATACAAAGTTGAAACGTTCTCATATATGGTTTTTTTATTTATTACTAGTTCCAGTTCTAAGTGAACTGTTTTTAAAATATTAATAATTTTCTAGTTCAAACATTCTTAATTTTAATTTTGGAAATTAATAGTAACATTATTATTAAACAGAAATTCTAACTTCGATATTTAAAATTCAAAATTCCACATTAAAAAATCTATTTCCATAAAATTTCAAATATTTAACATACCTTTTTCTATAATTCAGATAAACCACAGTACACTAATAGTAAAAATTTTCAAAAAAACCAAAAAAATGAATGCAACAATACAAAAATTGGTAAAACTTTACAGCTCTATATGAAACGTCCGATGAACTCAGATTAAATTACCAGATATTCCTTGCAAATAGAGTTGGCCCTTGGGTTGTTTTATTTTTGCATCTTTAAGGTGTGATAAATTGTTTACGAACGTACATATACTCCCTTGGGCTTCATTTAGCCTTGCAAAAGGGTCAAGCACGTATGGACAGTCTACAAAAGTATATGTGCATTTGTAAACAATTCTATCACCCCTTAAAGACGCAAAAATAAACCAACCCAAGGGCTACAAATGAAATTTTTGAAATAAAACTAAACAAAATAGTATATTATGTACTGTACATGTTTAGAAAAATGGCCCAAATTGTATACGGCCCATGTGAAATTTTCCACATGACCAGTCCGCCTCTGGTTGCGTATAAAAAAATTCTTCTAATTATTAATTAATTAACATTTCTGCACAATGATTCAGATATCTGAAAGCTTCACAGCTCATTTTTATTATTTCCAATAAAAAAGTTAAGATACTTTCTTAATTCAAAGTATCTCCAGATCTAAAAAGAAATTGATAGAAATTAAGTTATTATATATTAGTTTCTAAATTGGGACTATATTTTCAGAATAATAATATAAAATTTAAAATTTCTGTTGAAATTTTCATATT